AGCTCCGGTATGTTTTCTTGGAGACTTACAGAGGAAGTCTCCAGAGTCAGAGGTTCTGAGTCTAAGTCTGCCTCTGCTGACTGGAGAACTGCAATGTAATCGGGCTGCAACAGAAACCATAAATGATAGAGAACCTGAGCTGGGAATGGCAACATCACACGAAGGGGAGATGGGAATGAGAGATGTAGATTCAACCCTGAACATCTTTCCAGAAGAACAAATCACCAAAGCCAATAACACTGTACCAGGTTTAGAGGAATGGATATCTGGCCAACAGGGGCCTGCCCCAGCTGCTATAGTACCCATGATAGACAATGTCCTGGATGCTGTAGTACCCATGCCAGGACCAGGAGAGGCTATCCCAGCTATAGCAGTGCCTGCTCTTGAGGGCCCTGCTGCCAAAGCCTCTGCCTCAGAGGGAACTGCTGTGACTGCTCCAATCGTGTCTTTCCCCAAGGAGGATATCCCAGTTGCCTCAGTGGTCATCTTAGAGGAGGATGTTACAACTAAAGCGTTATCAGCCCCAGAACAGGCTGCCATTTCATCTGGTGCAGTGCCCATCAGAGATGAGGATGTTACCTCAGAGGAGCCTGACCCTCAGGCTGCTGCAGTGCTCCTCCCAGAGGAGCCTGCCCTGACAACCCTTTCAGGGCCCACCTCAGAGAAACCCAGTGCTCCAGCAGTTGTGTCTGCTGCAGAGGAGCCTGGCATTCCTCCTCCGGCAGGGCCTGCGCTCGAGGAGGCTGCCGCCCTAGCTCTTGAACCTACCCCAGAGAAGTCTGATATTCAAATGGTTAGTGTGTCCATCCCAGGATGGTCTGTCACTCCAGCTCCTGCAGTGCCTGCTGTGAAGGAAATGTTCTCTTCTGGTGGCCCTTTCCTGGGAGGAACTACCCACACTGATTCAGTGCCCATTGCAGAAGAAACTCCTGTTCTTGAGGCTGCTTCCTTCCCCGGAATGTGGATCAAGGAGGACCTTGATTCTTCAGCATTTGGAATAAAAGAGGTGCCTGACCCAGTGCTACATGGGAAAGTGCCTCTGGCTACAACTGATGGATTAGATTCACATGAGGTAATTGTTGCTCATTTCATTGGCAGGAAGGGCCTAGGGAGTAAAGTGAGAATTGCCAGTTCTCTCACTTGGTGGTTAACTAGTAATGGCAGAAGTCATTTGTTAATTCTGTGCCCTGGGCTGGAGTTTCTAGATTTTCTGTTGAGTTTAGAGGGAAAATGTATCTTAATTTTCTCTGGAATGAAATTTTGCTCATTTTTTTCTTACATATGTTGGAGCCCAAAGGAACACAATTGTAAATAGGCATTTTACTTTAAAAAAATTGTTATTAGCAGAAAAATGTGATTCCTATTGAAACTATAGCAAGCCTATTTCCTAAAATCAAGAGAGTTTATGTTTATTAGTGATGTACAGTTAGTCCAAATTACACTGAGCTTTGAGTGAGACCCGAGTACTGCTGAACCACTCTGGGACGATTAGGTGTTCTGAGTCTTCTCACTCAAGAGTCCTCACTTGGTAAGGCAGAACCCTGAGAGTATTGTAGGATAAGGTGGCAATGCATTTAAAGTATCACATATGTAAGATTTCAAGCTCTGACTATCTTCTTCCTTCATCCTGTAAATAGGTTTGCAGAATTCACAGAAGCAGATTAGGTGGAAACCATGTCAAAATACAAATGTGTGTTTCTTTTAGAGTTTCTCTGTGTAGCCCTGACTGTCCTGGAACTCTCTCTGTAAACCAGGCTGACCTCAAACTCAGAGAACAGCCTGCCTCTGCCTCCCAGGTGTTGGAATGAAAGGTGTGTGCCACCACCAGCAGAATAAATAATTTTGATTGTGTTCAATTACCTTGTGATGTAACTTCCTGTCAAGTTAGAATTTGTTACATTTATGGACTGCAGGATTGATACTGAGAGTGCAGTCACCTCTTAAGTCAGTCAGTGACAGAACAGTTCCTTGCACCCCTGAAATATGAAACATTTGTGGAGTAAAGCCTACAGCAGCAATCAGTGACACCAGTTTGATCCTGCATAAAGAGGAGTTCAGAATCCTCATTTTATAAAGTACTGCCTGATAAAATGATGGAGAAGGAAATGGTGCCATCCACCACTCATTCTTTAAGTGGGATTATCTGAGGGAAAGTGTCTCTGTGTAGTCCTGGCTGACCTGGAATTCCTTGTGTAGACACAGGCTAGTCATGGAGATCTCCTTGCCTCTGCTTTGTGATTAAAGATGCACCACCACACCCGACTATTTTGATAGTGTTTATGCAGGCATGGTGATGCATGCCTACAGTTTGAGCACTTGGGTCATTGGGGAAGGGATGGATATTTGAGGCCAGCCTGGGATACATAATTATGGGGTAGCCTGAGCTGTAAGAATGGGGAGGGAAGACGGAAACACACTACTGAAATAGTTATTAGTTGGATTTCAAAGAAGTTTTTCCAAGTTGGACATGTGTGTGATTGGTAGAGTACTTTGCCTGGCATGTACATGGTCCTGGGTCCATCTATAGCACTGTAGGGAATGGAAAAGTGTTTTCCAGGATTGTATGAATTCCAGTTTTTACATTTTTAGAGTTTTTTGGTATATGTGGGTCTTGAGAGAGGTCCTATTCTGGCTGGCATGGAACTCACTATGTAAGGACAGACTGGCCTCAGACTTGTGGAATTCTCCTGCTTCAACCTCCTGAGTGCTGATATTGTAGGTGCGAATTACCTTGGCTCTTAGGAAATTTTTAAAGGCAAAAGAACTTGTTGTTTCTATGCAGAGATACTTAGAACTCAACAAGTGATCATAATCTGGAATTTGATTTAGAGCAAAGGGCTTCAGAGCTTTCATGTTTATGTATGTACAAAGACACATGTGTATACCTAGCATAAAATATAAACTTCCCAACTCTTTAATATATAAACTTCATAATAGGAACTAACAAGAGCTTGGTTAGAAGAAGCAAAATATTAGTTTATTCATTATTTTTATATTGGTATCTCAGGCCACAGAGAGCAGTCCCCAGTTATTTTAACCTCTACCTATAGGTTCCCTCGGTTTTACAGTCAAAAGTTCAGAGGAAGAGGGAGCAGCCTTTTATACAAAGTAGGGCTTTCAGAAAATTAAAATTGGCCAAGGAAGTCTTTTTAAACAAAAATTTGGAATTGTCACAACACCAATTCAGTGTTCGAATGTCCAGCTGATAGGCAGATCTGTCGTGGGTTTATTTGCTTTTCCCTTAAGCAATTTCTATACAAGGAATACAAGGAGTCATTCATTCAAGAAAGACATAGTTACTGAGCATCAACTTTGTGCCAGATCCCAGCCTCTTACAGTGAATAGAACTGGCACAGTGCCTGCCCTTGTGAACCTTACAGTAGCATGTGGGAGGCTCTTGTGAGTATATGATTATAAACTGACAAAGTGGATTTTGGAGACCATTGGATAGAGTCAAGAAATACTTTAGAAGTAAAATTAAAACCTGCTGATAGATTTTCTATTAGAGATGTGTTAGTTATCCAGGATGACATGGAATCTGATTTATACAATTAAGTACAAACTGGACAGTAGTAAATTATTGTTTTCAAGACCAAATGTTAGTTTGATTTTGGGAAGAATAAATTTGAAGGGATGGGAAAGCGAGAGATACTGTTTAATTGAAATCATTAGATTCAAGGTACCTGTAAGTGGTTGTTATATAAATAGTAAGAAAACAGTTGGATGTCTGGATTTGAAGCTTAGAAGATTTAAGTTGAGAACCATGGTATTTATCAGAGTTAATAATTAAAGTGATAGAGATAGATTAAATTGCCCAAGCAGGACACTAAAAGAGATAGCCAGGCATGGTGCTATACACCTAATAATTAGCCTAGCACTCAAGAGGCTAAAACAGGAGGCCCGTGAGTTCCAGGCTAGCCTGAACTATATAGTAAAGCTTTATAGTGGTATAATATTTGTATTTTAATAAATAAATCTTGCCTGAAGACCAGAGGCAAAGCTAAAATGGTGACAGACACCTTTAATCCTAGGATTTGGGAGACAGAGGAAGATAGATCTCTGTGAGCTCAAGGCTATCCTGGGCTAAATAAGATCAATGCAGAAACAAATCCAGGTGCTGGTGGCCTACACCTTTAATCCCAGTACTAGAGGGAATATAAAGTGGGAGGAGAAAGAGTCTTAGTCTACTTAGTTTGCAGTTGCCCAGACCTTGGTAGAGGTAAGACTTCTCTAGTGACTTTGCTGCTTTGCTTTTATGGTTTTTAGGTTGATTTATTTATTAATATACAAATAATATACTACTATAAAGCTTGTCTAAAATAAATAAATAAGAATTTTAAGGAAGTCTTTTGACTAACATCCTCCATTTAGGGGTAAAGAAGAGAAGAAAGAGAACAAAAACATCAAAAAAAAATCAACTGAATTCAAATTGAAATGCAATTCAGTACCACCAAAGATAAAAGTAACTACAGCCCTTTCCAGTACCCACTTATGCACAAATAAAAACAAATCTTTTTTTAATATTTATGTATTATAAATACAATATTTTGTCTACGTGTATGCTTGCAGGCCAGAAGAGGACACCAGACCCCATTACAGATGGTTGTGAGCCACCATGTGGTTGCTGGGAATCGAAATCGGGACCTTTGGAAGAGCAGACAATGCTCTTAACCATTGAGCCATCTCTCCAACCCCCATAAAAGCAAATCTTTAAAAAATAGCTTGCATGTATTTGGTTTGCTAGAGTAAAATGGGCCCTTCAGAGTGGACTTGATACCTTTCTTCTGTCTTCCTGGCCTTCTTTTCTTTGTCTCTCCATTTCTTTTTTGTTCTGTGTTGTTTTGTTTTATGATTGTTTTTTCCAGACAGGGTTTCTCTCTACATGGTCCTGACTACGCTGGAACTCACTTTGTAGACCAGGCTGGCCTCAAACTCAAAGAGATCCACCTGCCTCTTGTCTGGTTTGTCCCTCCATTTCTTTTCTTTTTCTTCTTTTTTTTTTCCTCCCAAGAGAAAGGAGTCATCTCTGAAACTCAGCTGTATGTGGAACCAGAAGGGTATCATCACGGCATTGTCCCTCCATGTCTAATCCTCACCATCATTAATCAACTTCAGAGCCCGTGCCCTCATAATAGCCCTCATCTGTTCTCATCCTCTCATGGTTTTTCTTCAGAGTAATATCTTTAGTGTTATAGAATAGAGATATATGGCACTTGTGGTTTGTTTTTGAAGCTGAATTCTTTGTAGTTTGCCTAACAAAATGCAATCTAATCAAGTTGTAGTATAAGTTGAAATGTACTGGTGATTTCAGTTTGTCCTGGGCTTTCCCCTCTATACCGACTCACTTATCTAACCATAGGCATTCCTTTGGAATTAGATTCCTAACTATGGTGTGATAGATGGTCTGCTGTAGAACAAAATTAGCCTTCCTTCAACACTCAGTTCTTGCTTACATTTATTTTGTTCTCTTCCATTCTCTGTCATCTCTGGCTTTAATAGACATACCTGTTGTTTTTTTGAAACTGAAGGAACTTTGTATAGAAGAGAAAGAAAAAGAACTGAAGTATATATAGCCAGGTTGTCAAAATATGGCTAATTTTATGCTCTAATAATTAAGAGAAACCATTACTTAGGGATAAATATTTGTCATTCTTTCCGTTAAGACTATGAATTTGGCAAAAGTATGTCAAAACTAAAGTTTCGGTATTTGTTTGTTTTGTTTTTTGATTTTAAGATAGGGTCTCATGTACCCCAGAAAAGCCTCAGATCCTCTATGTAACTGATAATGATCATGAACTTTCTGATCTTTCTGCCTCCACCTGAGTGCTGAGATTATAGGGTTGGTGGCTTACACCCAGTTTTCAAAAATTCCATTTTTTGTTCAGACCTAGAACATCTAGAAATGTCTAAGTTTTAACTGTAGTAAAGAAAAATAGGAATCTTGCTTACTACACTTTTATTCTCATTGTTTTAAATTCTTTTGTTTCATGGTGGACATGATCCATGGTATCATTTTTTGAAAGTATTTTATATCCCTATGTCTTACTCAGCACATGTGTCAGAGTTGTTAGGAGCATTTTTTCTTGTAGGCAGGAGAGTACTGTTTCAAGATGATTGAATGAAGCAGAATGAAATTAAATGGCCACAGGGGTATTGAGCTATGAGCTTTGCATTTTTCACACTGTTGATTTAGAGTTACTCATCCGAGCCAGAAAAATACGTTGCCTTTTGTCAGTGGTCAAGCCGCTATTCTCCACGGCATGTTCCCAAGTTCTTAAGAACTTGTAACTTGATAGCATCCTTCCCTTTCAGGATCCATAGTATTTTAAGACTAACACTTCACTTTTCCCTATAGCTTTTAGCATTAAAAATTAAGCAACTGATTTGAAAGAAGATACTGAGTCATTGGGTTAAGGACCTAAACAGTGCTGCTATAACTGCCTCTGGGTGTATGTTACTAAGAGGATACGTAAGAAGATATGTAACTGAAGCATGAACCCATGTGTCTCCTTAGTATCTCACTGTTCTGATGCTTACATCAGTTCCTTGCCCTCCTTCATTAAGTTGTAACTCTCTTGAGGATGACCAGATACTGCAGTGTAGAAGGCTTAATGTCCTTAAGAGTAAATCTGCTTTGTTTTGCAATTATCTAGACATTTCAGAAAGAACAAGTGGATCCTCTACAGGTGAAATTGCAGCAAGTGAATGGACTTGGCCAGGGATTAATTCAGAGTGCAGGAAAAAACTGTGACGTGCAGGGTTTAGAACATGACATGGAGGAGATCAATACTCGATGGAATACACTGAATAAAAAGGTGAGTGGTGAATGAGTGACTCGTGAAAGAGAAACACCGAAACCTCAGATTTTCCTTGAAACTAAATGCCAACAAAATTCTGTTGTTGCCATCTGTAATTACTAAAAGGATAGTCGTCTAAATGCTGCCCTCTTTCTTGTTACTGAGCTCTCCATGTCTGTGACACAGGTTGCACAAAGAATTGCACAACTACAGGAGGCTTTGTTACATTGCGGGAAATTTCAAGATGCCTTGGAGCCATTGCTTAGCTGGTTGGCAGACACAGAGGAGCTCATAGCCAATCAGAAGCCTCCATCTGCTGAGTATAAAGTGGTGAAAGCACAGATCCAAGAGCAGAAGGTAAGTGGGAACGTAGAGACAGAGAACTGAAATGGCCACGGTGACAGGCAGCACATTTGCTTATCACTTAAGGAGCAAATCCAGAGCTTCAGTAGAACCTTAACATACGTCATGTTCTCCTGAGAAGAAAGATGGAAATTGATTTTCAGTGGTTTTACTATGGCATTTGTTAGATTAAGCAAGTTACATATTTCCTTATGTGTTGTGTTTTAAGATCAGCAATATTTATGTTATATGTCATGCATGAGTTGTCTATTTTTTTGTCTTATTTGCTTAATGTTAATTATACATAACACTGGGTTTAGTTATGACATTTTCATTCATGTACATAATATATTTTGATCACATTCGCCCTCCATTGCCCTCTTATCCCTCTTCTACTCATCCCTTTCTTCCCACCTAGCCCTACTTCTGCTTTGTGTGTGTAAGAAAGACCTAGTGAATGTTACTAAACTGTTTACAGGAATATGGGTACCTTGCCAGTGTCTGTACTACTGAAAAAAAAGTCTTTCCCTCTCCCATCTGCTGTTAACTGTTTCAGATCTATAGGAAGGGTAGAATGAGCCCCTCCCGTTCTGTGACAGGGTGTCGAGAAGCCAGTATTAATGTGGATGTATACATGTAATCAACACGTACACACACACTACTTCCTCTGGCTCTTACATTCTTTCCTACCTTTCTTTTATAGTAGTTCCTAAACCCAGGGAGAGGAGATGGATAGATGTCTTTATGGCTTGGAATTCAATAGTCTTTGACTTGTTTGAGTCAGGGTCTCATGTAATGTGATGGTCAGCAACATTATGTTCCTGAGGATGGCACTGGATTTCTGATCCTCCTGCCTCCACCTCCCAAGTGCTGGGATTACAGGTGTGAACCTCAGCTGGTTTGTGCAGTGCTGGGGATCAGACTTCATGCATGTGGAACCAGCACCGTACCAGCTCAGCTCTTTATCTCCCAGTCCTCTGGGAGATAAACCCCAGTCCTCTATATTTTTGTTAGTTTAATTTCTGTTTCAATGCAGTATTGCTTTTAAATTTTTTTATTTTGTGCCAGGCATGGTGACGAATACCTTAAACCAGCTCTTGGGAGGCTAAGGCAGGAGGGTTTTTTTAGAGTTTCAGGCTAGCTTTGACTACATAGCATAAATCATGTTTCAAAATAGCCAGGTATGATGATTGTACACCAAAAGGAAAAATTTTATAACCATGTTTATCTTAAAAGAAAATATTTTGGATTTTTCTAGTTTTAGTAAAATATAATAACAAATGAAATTTTATATATTTGCAACATACAAGATGATGTTTTGATATATACATATCATACATTGTGAAATGACTGCCTTAAGCTAATAACATATCTGCCATTTCAGATCCTAATGATTTTTCTGTGTGATTTTTGTCTTTTGCTTGTTTGTTTTCTGAGACTATGGCGTGCTTAAAGTTCAGTATGTGGACAGGCTGGCCTCAAACTCACAGAGATCCACCTGCCTCTGCCTCCTGAGTGCTAGGATTAATGGTGTATATCACCACTCTTGGCTCATGTACTTGTGTCTTAATTCAGAGGAAGTTATCTCTCAATAATATAGTGACAGCCATGGTACTATTAAAAAATTGAAGTGAGTGGGGTGGTAGGAACTATATTGTCTCATACTTTTTGAGTCAAGAAAGCTTCAGATTTGCCAAGATGAGTTGTTTGGGTTTTTGTTGCTGTTTTTAAGATAGGGCCTTATTATGTAGATCAGGCTGACCTCAACTCATAGAGGTCCACCTGCCTCTATTTCCGCGGTGCTGAAATTAAAGAGTATGTGCCACTACAACTGGCTCTTGTTTTATTTTTAAATGACCCTGTGTTGTTACTTTCCTTTCTCTTTAAACATATATGCCACAGTTGCTCCAGCGACTCCTAGATGACCGGAAGGCCACAGTGGATATGCTTCAGGCAGAAGGAGGCAGAATAGCGCAGTCAGCTGAGCTAGCTGATAGAGAGAAAATCAACGGACAGCTGGAAAGTCTTGAACGTAGATGGACTGAACTCCTCAACAAGGCAGCAGCCAGGTAAGGGACTTGAGTCCTGTTCAGAGGATTATTTTGTCCTGTGTTTGATGGACAATTGCTGAAGTGCTTTAAAAGCTCTTGGATAACTCAGGGATTGCTCTGGAGGGTGTTCGGTAACTTTTATTGACAGGTGATAAGTGTTTAGAGATAATCCACGTATTACTCTCAGAAACTGAGCTGCAGTTACTAATAAGTTCTGGGCTGGAGACTGCTTGCTGTGAGTGGTGGCTCTGCCGTGGTGGAATTGCTGTTCTAATAACAGATGCAGAAGCCTATAATCTAGCTAAGTTATAGTCTATAGTCTGAGTTTTTAGGAAGTTCTTTTTCCTTTCATATATATAAACTATGTTTTAATGTTTATAATTGAAACTTGTCATGTTTCTCTTTTGTTAAAGTAGCTGTCTTCTCAACCTGTTCATCGCACCCAAACCCAACATTATGGCATTTCATTACTAATTTGGTGTTCATACAAATCTGGTTATTTCCAGGTTCTCTGTCTCCCCTTTGTAATTTACAGTACTCTTAAGATCCAAGCTTAGTGTGGATATTATATAAGATTTAAGATTCCAAATGACCTGTAAAGTGTGGGTGTGTGTGCGTGTGCATGCTAGTCTTAAATTTGGACTCAGTACAGTTTTGGCTTGAAATTGCCAGGAGCCTAATTGTGTTGACAGAAGTTTCTGTCCCATATTATGTCTGGGACATAATTGGATTTTTGAAACTGGGGAAGGACTTCTAGCTCATAGAATCACTACTTTGGTTTTCTCTTCACGCATGTGCAGAGATAACAATAGCGTAAGACGTGAAGACAGTTGATTTGGAGTTCCTTTGTTTTATTTATTGTGGCCATTTGTTCTGGTGGTGCGCATCCCACATTCCATTCTGAAATGTGGAAGGTAGTCTGAGGAGTGCTAAAAGAGCTCCTTCTATCCTTAGCCTACTACTACTCATGAGGTGACTGAAGAAATACTTGTTTAAGCCATCAGGGTTAGCTTTCTCTGTTTTAATCATGAGGTAATTATCCAACCCACCTTAGAGATGGTCAGTGGAAGATAATGCAGTGAAAGCTGCAGCCACAAAGCAGTGATACCTAACAGTGTGTTCTGTTTACTGTGGGCATGCCTGGGAAGACTGCTCTTGTACTGATTTGATGCTCCTGACTGTTCTGCCTGAGCATCTTGTTCTGTGTATTTGTGTAGGCAAAAACAGCTGGAAGATATCTTGGTTCTGGCCAAACAATTCCATGAGACAGCTGAGCCTATTTCTGACTTCTTATCTGTCACAGAGAAAAAGCTTGCTAACTCGGAACCTGTTGGCACTCAGACTGCCAAAATACAGCAGCAGATTATTCGTCACAAGGTAGGAAGGTGTTATGATAAATGAAGCACAGAACTGGAGATAGAAACTGAAAAATTAAAGCATTCTCTAGAAAATGTTTTATGGAGTTTTTATTTTAAAATAAGATGAAATTATTAGATGGAAACGATACATTGGGTTGGAATAAGAATAGACATTGCCTGATAAGCTAACAGCAAAGGAGGAAAAACAGCTATGTGCGACTTTTCATACTCTTTTTTGCCATGCAACAGGTCAATTTTTATTTTAATTTGGTCTGTTATTTGTTATTCATTGTTTCATGTTTGCTTTTCATTATTTATTTATTTATTTTTGTTACTCATTTTTTCCATCTGGATTTTCAGGCTCTAGAGGAAGAAATAGAAAACCATGCAACAGATGTGCACCAGGCAGTTAAAATTGGGCAGTCCCTCTCCGCCCTGACATGTCCTGCAGAGCAGGGTAGCATGTCAGAAAAACTAGATTCATTGCAGGCCCGATACAGTGAGATTCAAGACCGGTGCTGTCGGAAGGCCACCCTGCTTGAGCAGGCACTGTTCAACGCTAGACTGTTTGGGGAGGATGAGGTGGAGGTGCTCAATTGGCTGGCTGAGGTTGAGGACAAGCTCAGTACAGTGTTCGTAAAGGATTACAGACAGGATGTCCTGCAGAAACAGCATGCTGATCACCTGGTATTTGTGTTTTCATTCTTATATTTATGTTACTGAATTATTTTGTCACTTTGATATGTGTTTCTCTTCATTTCTTTTCTTTTTTAATTTCTGTCCCCTTCATTCCAAACACTTTAACTGTATTGTATGCATAATAAATTTATGCATATAAGTGCATAGTTAGTTGAATTGGTGCCAAGTACTCATTCTTTTTAGATAGGTCCAGGAAAATACTTGTATTTAACAGGCTTAGCTGATGATTCTAGAAGATCATACAGGTTAGAGTCAGGGCCCGTCTCACCTGCAGCTTGTGATTTACATCATTGGGATTGGATAATGTAGCAGGTAGATTTTTGAGTACATGAGGGAATACTGTAATAAACCATATATATCTAAATGGTATCCATAATCGCATCATGTAGTTGTAACAGAAATAGTTCTAAAATCCCAGGGATTCTGTGTCATCTTATAAAATATTCTTGTTTCCATCTTTTTTTTTTTTTTAATTATGTGTCTGTGAGTGCAGAGGCCAGAAGTGTCAAATCTGTGGAGGCAGAATTACAGGTGGATGTAAGCTGCCTGATGGTGGTGGTGGGAATCAAACTCAGGTCGTCTGGAAGAGCAGTGCATGCTCTGAACTGCTGAGCCATCTCTCCAGCCGTGTTTCCATTTGCTTTTATGAAGTCTCTTTATTTTTAATATAATGGGCATTTTTGCTGTATTTCATTTCTAACATTCTTGTGTTTAAGTTTAATACTGATAGATTGGTAAAGCTGATTTCATCCTAAATCTTTTCTCATTCAGCACAAAAGAGAACTTGCCTATAAAGCATCTCTTAATTGTCTTGAATAATTAAATAGAGAGTAACCAAAGAGATAAATAAGGGAATTAAATATTTGATCTTAAACAAAACTGCTAACTTATCTCTTTAAATGCCCTTTTTTTAAATTACATTTTTTATTAAGATTTTTTAAATACAATCTTTCCTCATTTTGCACAGCTATCGTTCCTTTTAGAGAAAACTCTCACATCTCTTCTCTTTGTTATGCCATATTTTTCGGGTTAATGCTATTTTTTCCTTTTCAGGCTTTAAATGAAGAAATTATTAATAGAAAGAAGAATGTAGATCAAGCTATTAAAAATGGTCAGGCTCTTCTAAAGCAAACTACAGGTACTTTGAAAAGTGTACCTCTTAGCACCTCTGTGGTCTTTTAGATTTTTATTTTATGTGTTGAATGTTTTGCCTATATACATATATGTGTACCACATGTGTGCTTGGTTCCTCAGAGGGTGTTGGATTGCCCTAGAACTGGAGGTGCGGGTGGTCGTGAACCACCAGATGGTTCTGGGAGCCGAACTGAGGTCTTCCAAGCCCCACCAATCCTACCTCTCTAGTCTTAAGGATCATAAGCACCCAGCACTAATCACTTCTCTTGGTCTATGAGAAACTCGGTATTCAGTGACTATGGCTGTGTGCTCCAGGGAAGTTGGTTATGTGTTCATTTCCTGCTAAGTCTTTTGAAAACTACAAGACTTAGTTATTTTATATCTGGTTATAAAGAGCAATTCCTCCTGCCTCCTAATACACTGAATGCTAGCATTGTCTGTAAAGTTCTAGAAGCACCTGCAGTTGGATTAAAAGCTTAATCTTAAAAGTCTTATGCAGTCAGGTTTATTTCAAGTTAACTGTCAGTTTGGGATATTAAGATATAAGTCAGCACCGTAGGAAGGAGTCTATGAAATTTAAGCTGTTAAAGACAAGACTGAAGAGAGTTTCTTCATGTGAACAGTGTTGTGCTGTTGAACTCCTTCGTGTGAACAGTGCTGTGCTGTTTTTCCCAGGTGAGGAAGTGTTACTTATCCAGGAGAAGCTGGACGGAATAAAGACCCGTTACGCAGACATTACAGTCACTAGCTCCAAGGCCCTCAGAACTTTAGAACAAGCCCGGCAGCTGGCCACCAAGTTCCATTCTACATATGAGGAACTAACTGGGTGGCTGAGGGAGGTGGAGGAAGAACTGGCAGCCAGTGGAGGACAGTCTCCCACAGGGGAGCAAATACCCCAGTTTCAGCAAAGACAGAAGGTAAGCCATAATTTTACACTGTAACAAGGAAAGAAGTTTCATCTTTGTCTGAAATGTGTTTCCTTACCTTTACCTTAAATCTAAACCATATGTACACCTGCTTTCTGTAACATGTTGGGCCTGCTTGTTTGTTTGTGTTTTCTATCCCTGCCTGGTACCCCACAGCCGGCAAGCCCCAGAGAAAATCAACCACACAAGAGAGCTCCTTAAGTTATAATGCTGATTGGCCCATTAGGTCAGGTTTCTTACTGGCTAACTCTCACATCTTGATTAACCCATTTTTCTGATCTATTTTAGCCATGTGGCTCAGTACCTTTTTCAGTGGGGCAGCTCACATCCTATGACTTTGGTGATCTGGGCAGGAGTGGGAGGAATCAACTTCCACCTCCCCAGAATTCTCCTGCTCTCCTTGCATCATTTCCACTTCCTGTCTGGTTTCCCTGCCTACACCTCCTGCCTGGCCAATCAGCGTTTATTTAAAATATGATTGACAGAATACAGACAATTCTCCCGCACCAGCTTTCTCTCTTGTTTACTCATGACAGTAAAATCTGACAAAACTATAGTCTGAAGAAGAAAAATCATCAATTTCCAAGTTCATAGGAAGTTTGCTTGCTGGTTTATGTTGTATAATTTACCTCCATTCTCTAAAAGGAGACACTATTTGGAAACCAAAAGAAAGCAAATGAGAAGGAGGCAAGGGAGATGAATGAGGGCACTGGGAGGGTAAAGAATAAGAACAAGACAAGAATTAAATGGGGAGAGGTGCTTCATAGTTACTTCTGATTCAGTTCTTTGTTGTTGTTGTTTTGTTTTCAAGACAGGATTTCTCTGTGTAAGAGCCCTGGCTGGTCTGGAACTCACTTTGTAGACCAAGCTTGCCTCGAACTCACAGAGATCTGCCTTCTTCTGCCTCCCAATTGTCAGGGTTAAAGGTGTGCACCACTACTGCCCAACTCAAACGCAGTTCTTGATGCAAAGAAATTCTGGGCAGCTGTTCATTAGGTTAAATGTCTATATAGTTGGAGCATTAAAGAATAGAATGAAAGGAACACTGTTTTTTTACCCACAGACAGTATGGCTCAAGCCTTGCAGACAGTTCTAAGCAAGCATCAGCTAAGTCTAAAGTCATATTTCAAAATGATTGAAAAATGTGAGGCAAGGAAAAAAAGAGCTGAAGGAAGGAGGTCAGTGCCCTGCTGGGATGTGGTAGAGACAGCGCTTTCCACTGTTCCACTGCTGATGTGCTTAATTTAGTAAGGTGTGGCCTGAAAACTTTTTCCTCCTTAGGAACTGAAGAAGGAGGTCATGGAGCACAGGCTGGTGTTGGACACAGTGAATGAGGTGAGCCATGCTCTCCTAGAGCTGGTGCCCTGGAGAGCCAGAGAAGGGCTGGATAAACTTGTGTCTGATGCCAACGAGCAGTACAAACTGATCAGTGACACTATTGGACAAAGGGTGGATGAAATTGATGCTGCTATTCAGAGATCACAACAGGTAATGTTTATAATGCTGTACGTTAGTGTTTTAGACCGTGGGGTATGTGTGGGATACAGTGCTATAACCTATGTAAATATAAGCTCAGGAAGAATAATGAGATCAAAATAAATACAATAAGCATGCTTCAGTAATAGAAAATACTTGGAAGAGGTTTGATTCAGATTTGAGCCAAAATACTCAAACCTTTTGAATAGAGAAAACCTTGCAAGAAGAGACCTATGTGAGGCTTTTTGTTTTTAAAGATTTTTTTTTAACTTTTATGTGTATGGATGTTTTTGTCTTCATACATGTCTGTGCGCCACGTTTATGCCTGATACCCAAAAAAGCCAAAAGAGGGCTTAAGATCAGATGGTTGTGATCTGCCATATGCAGATCCTCTGCAAGAGGAAGTGCTCTTAACCTCTGTACAACTCTCTAGCCCTGCCTCTCCACCTCCCTCACTTATTTATTTGTTTGCTTTTATTTTGTTTTTCTGTTGAGACAGGATCTCACTATGTAGCTCCAGCTTGCCTTAAATTTACAGAAATCTGCCTGCCTCTGCCTCCTGGAAGCTGGGGATAAAGGTGTGTAGCACCACTGTTTAGCATTTGATGGAAAAGGGAAAGATACCAAGACTATAATTACTTTCAAATATGCAAACCAAAATAGCACAGTTGCCCAAAATAGAATCCCTTAGTAAACACAAGTGTCATGTTTCCCTCTTTTTCCTTTTGCTTTCTGGCAGGGACGAGAGATAATTACTTTTGTCGGTAGCTAGATATATACTTTTTATTGAGACAGACTCTCCCTATGTAACTTAGATTGGTCTGGAACTCAAGCTCCTCCTGTCTCATCTGTGGCATCACTGTCACATGAGATGGCCATGCACCTATTAATATTCCATACCAACATACACATACACTCTCTTGAATGAATGGATGACCCCTTGAGTTCACAATGATTATGAAGACTTTTAATGATTTCAGCTACATCCCTAATTTGTCTTTAGGATTATTCCTAATCAGTGTAGCTATTTTTAATTGCAGTATATTATGCTTGGGAAACTGAGTCACATATACACTCTGCATACATATTTACTTTGAGACAGTCTGGTGTGGCCTTGTCTGTCCTCCAGCTGACTAACCCTGTACTCCTAATTCCTCATGTCTCTGCCATGTGCCAGGATATCAGCCTTCTCCACAGTGTCCAGTTCATTACCTTTATCTTTTTTGGTTTTTCGAAACAGGGTTTCTCTGAAACTTTGAAGCCTGTTCTGGAACTAGCTCTTGTAGACCAGGCTGGCCTCGAACTCACAGAGATCCACCTGCCTCTGCCTCATGAGTGCCTTTAAGCATGTGTCACCACTGACCAGCCATAACCTTTCTCTTTAAACATAGCTTTAGCAATCCTAATCTTAAAAATGTAAAGTATTCCAAAATCCAGAGGATGCTCAGCCAGTAATGTTGCCTATAAATATTCTAAAATTCAAAATGCTTCTGTTCCTATGCATTTCTGATAAAGGGTACTAAAGTAGACAGAGGTTAATAAAGTGAAAGAAAGGGTTATAAAGATTAGAGAACTGTAAAGATCAACAGTTATACAGAAAACATTAGTCTTGGTGATTGAGTTCAGGGTTCTTCTAGGTCCCATCCTTTATCTTGGCAAGTTTTTCGAAATTAATACTACTCGGCTGTCTACTACCATTTTAAATTTATATTTAAACACCTATATCCAGGAGATGACACACACTTGTAATCCTTGTCTCAAAAAAAAGAAAGGAAGGAAGGAAGGAAAGAAAGAAAGAAAAGAAGAGAGAGGAAGGAAGAAAAAGTAGTAAAGTGTTGGCATTGGAGAGGGTTGACAGAAAGTACCACTTGTTAAAGTTCCCTGATTCGAAAGATTCCAACTGCTATTTCTAATGGAGGACTAACCATCTACTAAGTTCTGTGGCTTCTATTGAAGGAGTTGAAATCTAATTTTCCTCCATTTTTGTTGTTGTGATTTTGTTTCTTTTTAGAAATTTTTGCTACTATTGTAAGACAAGGGTATGCCTGTGTAGTTCAGGCTGGCCTCAAACTTTCAATTCTCCTGCCTCAATCTCCCAAGTGATAGAATTATAGGCATGCGTTTTCATACTCATCTTAAAGAAACGTGTGTTGTCATCCCTGTTCCCATGGTGCTGGGGATTGAGCCCGCAGCCTCATGCATGTTCATTAAGTACTTTTCCACTAGCTACAAAGCCTCTACAGCTTAGTTTGTGATTCTTATGAAACTGTTTTTAGTTTTTAATTTACCTTTTGAGGTACAACTATATTTCTAGAAATCCAGGCTTTTCTGGCGTTGGTTAATTTACAGCTGTAAGAAAGAGACCTTGGCTCATATAACTCTTCATTTTTCTTGACTCTATTAGTACGAGCAAGCTGCTGATGCAGAACTAGCATGGGCTGCTGAAACAAAGCGAAAGCTGATGGCACTTGGTCCAATTCGTCTGGAGCAAGACCAGACCACTGCTCAGCTGCAGGTACAAAAGGTAAGTACAGAACAGCCAAATGCTCACATGTCCTGACTGGGAGACACTTAAAGGGGATGGTTTAATGGAATATGATAGAAATTAATCTATAAATACTCGATTTGGTGACTGGAGAGATGGCTCAGTGCTTAAGAGCACTGACTACTCTTCCAGAGGACCCAAGTTCAAACCTCAGCACCACATGGTGGCTCACAACTGTCTTCACCTCCAGGGAATCTGATACCTTCACACCAATGCACATAAAAAAAAGTTAAATAAATTATCAAAAAAAACTTTATTTGGATGAGGAAAATATATTATGTTTGTTCTCTTTATAGAAAAGGATAAGTAGATCTTTGAATCCCAAAAAGAATAGTTAGCAGTCTCCTGAGTGGTTGATTTAGGAAGGAAATATTTTTGTGAACAACTAAAAATAAGCACTGAAAACAATTTTTCCTTTAAAGATAAGCATCGATAATAGGTAAACGATACTATTTATCGGTAATACTCTTAAAGAGTAACCTTTAAGAATACTCTTTATGTATTTTTAAAACAAGAAATCTCACTTGTTGTGTCTGACATTTCACCAGCACGGGCACAGGGCAGATCCTTTGGCTTCTTGGCTTAATTGTGATTTACTTTTCAAAGGCTTTCTCCATTGACATCATCCGACACAAAGATTCAGTGGATGAGCTGCTCAGTCACCGTGGTGAAATATTTAGCACATGTGGAGAGGAGCAGAAAGCTGTACTGCAGGTGAATTACAGTTATTATTCGTGCTGCATTTCTTCATCAAGCTAAACAGGAAATAAAACAATGAAGTAATGTTTTAAAAGTGTTATTTCTCCTACTAGACTTTCTGATAACTGATGGTTAGGGCAAGGCATGGGGCACATGCCCTTAGTTCCTGATAGAGTGAAGCAAAACCTCTCAAGTTCCAGGCCATCTAAGTCATATCTGTCCTTATCTTAAAAGTGCAACCAACACAAGGTGCATGGTGGCCACTGCTTCTCAGACAAAAGTTGGCCTGAGCTGTTCCTCCCACACTCTAAAGACTAGGTACGCATTTGGAGGCTTCCTCTCCAGTCAGCACTGGGCATGTCAGTTTCCCCACAGCTTGGTTGTGTCTCTCTACTAGGCTTTGTTGTTGTTGTTATTTTTGTTTGTTTGCTTTTTGGGATGGAACCTTGGCTGGCCTGGAACTCATAGAGATGACCTGGCTCTGCCTCCTGCGTCACCATACCCAGCCCTAGAAGATTATTTTTAATTATTTTTTTGTGCTGTTTTACTACCTTTTCAACCATATCCATACTTTTCAAATCCTGACATAATGTATATGTATGGTAGTTAAATTTGAATTAAATATGAAGAAATTAAAAATCACTTATTCATTAGTCCATTTTAGTTAATTTAGTGTATGTTTCTTTACACTTGTTGATGTGCATGCAGTTTTGTGGGAGGCCTTTATGCATCATGCATTTTTTTTAAGGAAAAGAAGCTTCTATTAATATTTATTTTCTTTTTCTTTTTCTGTTTGACTTGTAGGAGAAAACTGAGTGTCTAATACAGCAATATGAAGCTGTTAGCCTGCTCAACTCAGAGCGCTATGCCCGCCTAGAGCGGGCACAGGTCCTAGTGAACCAGTTTTGGGAAACATATGAAGAGCTTAGCCCCTGGGCCGAAGAAACTCTAGCATTAATAGCACAGCTGCCCCCTCCAGCTGTCGATCACGAGCAACTCAGACAGCAGCAGGAAGAGATGAGGGTAAGGAGCATGCCACTTCTTCCTCAGTGGAGACGGACCCTGTAACTCACTGAAAACACTTATTAAGGCTTATGGCGTGAATTTTAGGTTGCAAAGTTAATTCCTAATTAGAATTTCTTTTCACAGTGAAAACACGTGTTAAATTTTCTTCATCATTTAATATTAATTTATTAAAGATTATAGATGTGTCAGGAAGCTGTCAAGCCAGACATAGTAGTACATGCCTGTAGTCCCAGCACTCTGGATGTTGGTGGTCATGAGCTAGAGAACAGCCTAGGCTACAGAGAAAATTCTAGTTCAGGCAGGCTTATAGCCAAAAAAGTTAAATTCTTCAAAAAGTTAAAGAAATTTTTTAAAAATCTTTTGTATATGGGGAGAAAGAAAGAGCTAACTAGAGCTGGGATTAGCTCAGTGGTAGAGCACTCAATGCATGCCTGAGGTCTCAAGTTTGATCCACAATGTACAAGAAAAAAACATTGAAAAAAAACAGCTAAAAATCAAAGAAATTTAAAATATTTCTGAGGTTATTCAGGTATTAAAGTGTGGCTGGCTCTTTCACTTGATGAGAATGGGAGCTGTGAAGAAATTAGAATATTTTTGCCTCATAGATTTAAGATGAAAGAAATTTATAGATGTTTCAGCTACAACTATTACATGAATAATGCTTTACTTAAATGTTCATTTCTGGTTTGTGATTTCTCCTTAGTACTAGTCCCATGTTTCTTTAGTGGAGGTAGCAATAAAGGCAGAGTGGTTGAGTTACCAAATGATTGCTGTTCTTAAGTTACCCTGCTTGGTGACTCAGTCTGATGTGTAGACAGATACTAAGCTATGTAATATATTATATTATGATAGCGTGATACCAAGACATACTTAGAAGTGGGGTGGTTATGCCCAGGAAGACTTCCATAGTAATTGGACATCTGATCTGAATTGGGAAATTAAGAGAATTACATAGTACTGGAGCCCAAACCCTCCATAAATGGTGAGAGGCTAGGACTTGCTGGTTAACAGTTCAGTTTATTTCTCTCAAAGTTGTTATTACCTATGATCAAGATATCTAAATAACCTGATATAAACCTGCTCATTATTTTTGGTTTGTCATTACCTAGGAATCCTCATTGTATTTTTGTTGCTAATTGCTTATTGTCTTTATTTACTATGTTTTAATTCATGTTTCTTTCCATAGCAACTGAGGGAATCCATTGCTGAGCACAAGCCTCATATTGATAAGATACTAAAGATAGGCCCACAATTAAAGGAGTTAAACCCTGAAGAAGGAAAAATGGTGGAAGAAAAATACCAGAAAGCAGAAAACATGTATGCCCAAATAAAAGATGAGGTGCGCCAACGGGCCCTGGCTCTGGATGAGGCTGTGTCCCAGTCTGCTCAGGTATGTATGTTTGTGTTAGAGTTCTCAACTGCCCACTGGTCTGTTAGCCTCTCTGTGCAGGAGTAACCAGATACCATGTTGCTAATCCATTATCTGTAGAGAGGGAAATCTGTGTCCTTGCATTTCTGCCCTCAAGAGCATTGGTGCACTAACACTGTGTGAAAGGTGGAGTGCATCTTGGCTAATCTGTGTAATTGTTTATTGATGGCTTCTCTGAAAGCTTCATGCTACAGTGACTCTTCAGTGGGGATGATTTGAGGATAATTTAATTTTGCAGATCCAAAACCAGTGATTACCTCAACAAAAGTCAAGTTCTAATTGAGGCTATTAATGGTGAGATTTAGAATGACAGCACATTAATTTAAGCAGCCAACTTTTTAAGTTCAGACAAAAGTATGCTTCCATAGGAAGTACACCAGAGAAGGGAAAACCACCAGCAGTAGACTTTCAAGCATGTAACTACACACTTCTCGACTAATATATTACTGTTAGTGGTACTCTTGTCATGTCTGGATATTTTATTCCTTGTTGAGTCAATATTTTTGGTTAATACTTGTACTTACTCACGTTTTTCCCCCCCCCCCACCTCCTGTCCCATCTCACTCACATTGTGGAATGTGTTACTTTGTGTTGTTGCTGCCTGCTCCTGTCTTCCCCACATCGTCACATTTCATTGTTGTGTTGACCGCGCCCACCATTACAGATCACAGAGGTAAGGTACCCACTCACTCCATGGGAGTCAGTGTTCTTCTAGAGCTGAGAATTGAGGACAGTGCCTATAAAAAAGCTTCATCTTACCTTTTCTGGAAATTTAATGTGACCATTTTGCTTGAGATGGAATATAGAAGTAAGGGAGTAGTGGGAATGATTTAAGACATTTGTTTCTCTTGTAGGGCACTTGGCATTGATGAGCCTTGCTCAAATTAATAAATCCAGGGTTGATTTTAGATGGGGTTTTTAGACGAAAACTCTTTCTGTGGTATTCTCTCTTTCCAACTTATATATCAAATTATAAATTCAGAATTTTATGATTTTAGTCATTTTATTCAAAGTACCAGAAAAGTGGAAGGTTAGATTTGGCCTTCCTTGTTACCGTTCATCATGCCAGCACTTCACTTTCTCTTGTTGCACAGTGTGGGTTGTTAAACTGTATACTATAGTATTTCAGACTCCAGGCACCCAGCAGGTTAAGTTCCCATCCGTTTACATAACTTGTTGCTCTGGTCTGTTGCATGCAGTTGTCATCTGAAGTGCTGAGTACTGACTCTCACCAGTTCATAGTCTTGTACCTATCTCATCATATTAGTTGGAGTTTGAGAAGTATTGTGACAATACTAACCATTTTGTGACTTTTTGATGTATTAGTATTTTTTGACTCAAAAAATAAATATCTTCTTTTTGCCACTCTAATGGACCAGCACTAGTTTACTAAGTCCAAAACAGTTTTTTAGACAAACCCAACCCTTTAACATAGCCATTGGGCCAGACTGAACACGGGCAATCCTAAACAATAGGTTTATAGTTTGACTTTATGCCCTAACATGTTCCCCAACATGATAAAGTATTGCTATGATGGCTAATAACCCAATTTTGTCTAGTTTCATGATAAAATTGAACCCATGTTGGAAACTCTGGAGAACCTTTCTTCTCGCCTGCGGATGCCGCCCCTGATTCCTGCTGAAGTTGACAAGATTAGAGAGTGCATCAGTGACAATAAAAGTGCTACCATGGAGCTGGAAAAACTGCAGCCATCCTTTGAGGCCCTGAAGCGTCGTGGAGAGGAACTCATTGGGAGATCTCAGGGAGCAGACAAGGATCTGGCTGCAAAAGGTACTTGGTGGATCTGATTATTCTTTAAGAAAGAGCACAAACTGAATTCCAGGCTGTGGCTACCTCCAACATCCTACCCAGAGTCACTGCTCAAGTAATGAGCATTCTAAAAAGTCATGTAGAACTCATTTAGAATTCAGAACACACTTTCCTATTGAAACAAGTTTACAATTGGGAGTTAGATTCCCAGGCCAGGAAACAAATGCTCCTTTAACCCCTAATGTGAGTATCACAGTATCAATAGTGGGCAGAACATAACTACCTTTTGTAACATTTTCCATGGGAAATTCACAGAAAGTTCAATAAGAACACTAGAAGGAAGCATTCCCATTTCAACCCTTAAGTTAAGGACTTTTATCTGATCAGATATTTTGTATGATATTTCCAGATTGCTTCCGTGTTCCTTTCTTTCTAAGGGAGATCAACAAGCAGAAAAGACTAGTGTAGGAATGATAGTGATATAGCTACGATGAACTATAATGTCAGAATTAGATTGAATTTCAATGAGAAATTTAGGTTTCAGATTTAGAGAGATTCTGTTCACATCTTTGCTTTACTACTTCAGAAATCCAGGACAAGCTGGATCAAATGGTATTCTTCTGGGAGGACATCAAAGCACGGTCTGAAGAGCGAGAAATTAAATTCCTTGATGTCCTTGAGTTAGCAGAAAAGTTCTGGTATGATATGGCAGCTCTCCTGACGACTATCAAAGACACCCAGGATATTGTCCATGACTTGGAAAGCCCTGGCATTGACCCATCCATCATCAAGCAACAGGTTGAAGCTGCTGAGGTAACAAAAATACAAAACATCATCTTGTGTGTGTCCTTTAAAAAATACTATATCCAAGTTGATTGGGGTGTATGTGCATGTGTGTGGTGGTGATTTTTCTTATTTTTTTGTTTTCTTGCAATGCTGAGGATTGGACCTAGGGTTTCATCCATGCTAAGCAAGTGCAGTGCCTCTGAGCTAAGCCCCAGACCCTGAGTATGTGTGGTAGCTGCTTTGTTTTGTTTTTAAGGTGAGACTTTTTTTCCACTTTTAGGGAGGAGATAGACAATAGAAAATAAAAGATTCTGAATTCCTCATCCAGGGATAGCAAGTCACTTAAACACATCTTTTTCCTAGTATTTCTGGGCACTCTAATTTTTGACTAGACGGATTTCACTTGAGAGCCGTTTGGCACAAGCAGTGCCTTTCTCACCATCTTATTTGAGACACTTTTCAAATAAGGAGGATGGAAACTCCTCCTCCTTTATCCTTCTGTTGGTATGTGAGCTGTCTCAGACGCTAACAAAGAGCTGATTGTATGTAAGATGATACAGCCTAGCCGTGACCTAGCCATCAGCACCAGCCTTTGTGACCGCTGCCGTGTTGTTTCAGCATATGTTTTTTTCTTGGAACTAAGAAGGGCTGGTTAATTATCAAAGCTCATTATACCCTTCAAGTTAATGCTCTGCCTGCCATTTTTGTCATCATTATATGCTCATATTTTTTGACTTATGTATATAATACATTTGATCTACTTATTTTTTGATATGTAATCTACATTGACCACTTGAGTATGAGGCTGCACTCTCTGGATAAGTAATATCTTAAGAGAAAAAAAATTTTGTGATTTTTCAGGCTCTACTTAGTGTTTGCTCTTGATGGGGGGCTATGTTGTATTTGCAGAATTTGAGAAGTTATGTTCTGCTTTCTGTTTTGACTCATTTTCTGCCCTTCTCATCTAGACAATTAAGGAGGAGACAGATGGTCTGCATGAGGAATTGGAGTTCATTAGAATCCTTGGAACAGATTTGATTTTTGCCTGTGGAGAAACTGAGAAACCTGAAGTGAAGAAGAGCATTGATGAGGTGTGGAGAGTGGGTGATGGGTCAGATGAACACAGTGGGTTAGACCAGAGAGACATTGCTAGAAGGGTTTGATTCAATATTTCTCCCATAGATGAATAATGCTTGGGAGAATTTAAACAAAACTTGGAAAGAAAGGCTAGAAAAACTTGAGGATGCCATGCAAGCGGCTGTGCAGTATCAGGACACTCTCCAGGTAAGAGGCTGGGGGATGCCCACAAAGGAAATACATGTGCTCTGTTTTCTCTTGTCATTTCTAAATTTGGTACGGGATGACTCGCCCTCAGTACTGAGGTGTTTTGAAACCTAAGACAGTGTTGCTTCTACACTTCTGGCCTAAGTTTCCCACGTCTGTTGAGAAAAATGTTGACATAACATACATTCAAGTTTCTACTGTACTACTGCCATTTTCATTGTCATGCCCGTACCCATACAACTGTTCAATGAAGCTGGCCAGATTGTGTCAGTCACCACTTGCTAGAGGTCCTAAACCCTTTTATCGTGAAGTTGATAGTTGGGAAGGAAATGACCCTTCTCTTCTAACCTCATGTTTGTGTTTTTCAGGCTATGTTTGACTGGCTAGACAACACTGTGATCAAACTCTGCACCATGCCACCAGTGGGCACTGACCTCAACACTGTCAAAGATCAGTTAAATGAAATGAAGGTTTGTATCTAGAAATGGCTTAGAAAAGAAAGTTGCTACTCTTTAGTATTGAAAATTTGGTTTATTGTTAACATTAAGTACATCTTTTATAGGAGTTCAAAGTAGAAGTTTACCAACAACAAATTGAGATGGAAAAACTCATTCACCAGGGTGAATTGATGTTAAAGAAAGCTACTGATGAAACAGACAGAGACATTATACGAGAACCATTGACAGAACTCAAACACCTCTGGGAGAACCTGGATGAGAAAATTGCCCATCGACAGGTAAGGCTAGTGGTACCATAGGTTAGTGAACTGCTGTGTACCTTCTCTGATTTCCTAACATATTCCTTGTCTTGTCCCGAGCAGCATAAACTAGAAGGTGCTCTCTTGGCCCTTGGCCAGTTCCAGCATGCCTTAGAGGAACTAATGAGTTGGCTAACTCACACTGAAGAGCTGCTTGATGCTCAGAGACCAATAAGTGGAGATCCAAAAGTCATTGAAGTTGAGCTTGCAAAACACCATGTAAGTATTTTCATTTCTACCTAACTCTGTCCATTTGAGACCAGATACCACCAGAAGCTTTAATGTTTTGTGAACTTTGAGCCAGGTTTATTTGACATCAATTGAGATATCAATTATGTCATTCAACATTTTTTAGGTTCTGAAAAATGATGTTTTGGCTCATCAAGCCACCGTGGAAACAGTCAACAAAGCTGGCAATGAACTTCTTGAATCTAGTGCTGGAGATGATGCCAGCAGCCTAAGGAGCCGCCTGGAAACCATGAACCAGTGCTGGGAATCTGTGCTGCAAAAGACAGAGGAGAGGGAGCAGCAGCTCCAGTCAACTCTGCAGCAGGTACGCATGTTGTCCAGGTGGCAGAGCGTTGGAAGGAGACCTAAGTGAGAGAAAGGAAGCCATCTGGGGTAGAACCCTTAATGTAAAGAGCAGCTTTTGATTGGTGGGTCCCTTGGGATTTGTTTGCAGTTCCATGTATTTACTAATCACAATTAGTCTTTACTCTGACTAACTTATTTTGAGATTCAGGTTTTTCCTATATCATCAAGTCAGGCTTCTTCCTTTTCAGCAATTCCTTAGTCCATTCATCAGATTGTATTGGCATCAATACTGTGTTATAGTTAGATTTTGGTCATAAGCAAGCAGATTGTGCCAATCCAGAAACAAAATAACTACTGTGCCTGGGAGCAGCTTCAGATTCCTCCCAGTAAGCTCAGGATCATTCCAAATGTTTGCTTTTACACTTGCTTACTGATACTGTTGATATGTCTTTTTCTCAAAAGGCCCAGGGTTTCCACAGTGAAATTGAAGATTTCCTCTTGGAACTCAATAGAATGGAGAGCCAGCTTTCTGCATCTAAGCCCACAGGAGGACTCCCTGAGACTGCTAGAGAACAGCTTGACACACACATGGTAATAGCAGTTCTTCAGATTGCACATAAGCATCTCTGTTCAGTAGCCTCTCTGAGAGACACTAGTGCAGCTCATCTGCACTTGAGTGCCCGACACAGGCAGCAGTAGTGAAAGGAAGAGTCAGCTAGAGCGGCATCGGTGAGCTGGTAAACCATCCATCTGGTGGGCACCAGGGTATTGACTAGAGGTGAGAGCATTGCCAGTGTTTGTGTTCGGTAAGGGTTCAGGAGAAATCTGAGCAGTTTGACAGTGTTTTAAGAGAGCCTATTGAGAACAAAAGGTAACATAATTTTTAGGGAAATCCTTAATAAAAAGCAATAATAAATTATTAAAGACTGCTTTTGAAATCTTTGATCCTTAAAAAATTATTTTCTTGGTGAGTTGATTGTTTCCATGTTAAGGAAGAATTATAGGTTTTATTTAATAATAGCTCATACTTTGAACTGAACCTAAAAGAAACTTCTATCAAGACAAGGCCTTTAGGAATTTTCCCAGACTGTGCTATTGAATTCTATGTATATGGAGTCTTCCAGGAAGTAGATATTATTGATATCATTTCCTGTGTTCTCTTGTAGGAACTGCATTCTCAGCTGAGAGCCAAAGAAGAGACTTACAATCAGCTGCTTGACAAGGGAAGGCTTATGCTCCTTGGCCGTGGTGATTCTGGGTCTGGCTCAAAGACTGAGCAGAGTGTGGTTCTCTTGGAACAGAAGTGGCACGTGGTCAGCAGTAAGATGGAAGAAAGAAAGGTACCACCACAGAAACGTTGTTTGGCAATGTGTTTGGTGACCATAGGCATTACTGTCTCTGTTTTTTGGTGATGGTTTTGAAGATGGGTATGTTGTGATAGAGAACTTACCCTCACAGTGTACTTCATATTAACCTATCTTTGAGTTCTGTTTTCTGTGTCACTTACGGCTTTAGCGCCTGTCGGTCTTCGTTTTATAGTTGCTCCTTTTCTCCACCTACCAGTAAGACATCGCTGCCTGTTACTGTTAGTACTGGACTTCATATCTGACACTAATGCCAGTGTGGGTTTCTACTAGAAAACAAAGTTTAACATAGAATCGAGAAGTTGGGGACAGGGCAGTGTAAGTGTGACCAGCAACTTTCTGCAAGGATTTTTACTAGAAACCAGGAGAAAGGTCAATTGTGACCTCTTACTGCTAATCCTCAGAAACTGGATTTTCTTCTTTATAACTGCAGAAATGGGGAGAAGGGATCAAGGCTTTTTTTTGAAAAAGTTTTTTTGTATGTTTGGTTTTTGGAATTTTTTGTTTGTTTGGTTGGTTGGTTGTTTTTTGTTTTCGATACAGGTCTCTCTGTGTAGCCCTGGCTTTTCTGGAACTCGCTCTGTAGACCAAGCTGACCTCAAACTCAGAGATCTGCCTGCCTCTGCCTCTGCCTTGACTAGGCCTGGCTAGTTTTTTTTGTTTTGTTTTGTTTTGGGTTTTTGGTTTGTTTGTTTGTTCTTTTTAATGACTACCAACTCTCATTTTCTTCTTTGCTTGTCAGGTCAAATATAAAATACACAAATAACCTCTCATTAATTTTCTTTGTCTTCCAGTCTCTCTATCTTCCTGTCTCTCATGTCCCTGCTCAGATGGCCTTTTGCCACCTTCACCCCCCAATACACCTCTTGCATGAGGAAAAATAAATGCAAATAAATCACTTGGTCATCTCCACTCAATAAATAGTAAAGAAGTGTGTTCTGAACACTGTGCAGGTGCTACAGGAAGAGTAAACACACTTACCCAGTCATTTTGGAATTGCTGGGCAGAAGAACATAGCCTGCACTCACACACACTAAGGAATGCTTTTAGAGAGGCACTAGTTTGTCAGACCGTTCTGGTGTGGCTTTGCATCACTTTGTGATGTGAAGAACCTGAATGTAAGCCTACATTCTAGTTCTTGTTCTCTGTCCTGCAGAAAGCAAAAGCGAAATTAATAAGAGAAACTGAGGCAGAGTTCAAACTCAATTAAGTTCCCTAGCAAGGATTTGAAGCAGGAGAATCTCAAATGTAAGGGCAGCATGGCTGTAAAGCAAGAAAACTACTTTTGGTGTCAACAATAGTCATTTTTGGTTATATAGGAATATTATATTTTGGGATATTTTAAAAATCATTTATTAAAGATGTATAGTACCCAATTAAAGAATAGACTTTAGTTATTAATTTCTAGATGTGTCTGAAAGCTTTGATGTGACCATAGTGTCCACCAGAGTTGTTTATATTGGTTGGTACTTTTTTTTTCAGTGTTGGAGATTGAACCTAGGACATCATTCATGTCCTAGGCATGCATTCTACCACTGCATGTTGTATGCTTTTAGAACATTAATTATAAAGTAACCTAAAAGGATAAAGAAAAAATATGTAATTTAATCAGCTGCAATTAGTAACAGTCTAAGTTTTCAGTGTACTTTTTGAATGTATTCATTTTTAGTATATTCTGGATATAATCATCTTTTAAAAACCATCATTTACTTTGCCTGCCTAGTAGATGGCCCCAAGTATCCACTAAGAAGCTGGGAGGGACCAGAAATCCCTGAGAATGGAGCTCATGAACCCTGGGCTGGGAAGTACTAATGGAGATTAGCTCTTGCCCTGAATGACCATTACTTTCTGTCATTCTGATTTAAATGAGAGTAGCTTAAAAAGTTATATTTCAGTGTGTTCCTAGAGTTCTATGGCATAAACACACTTCAGATTCAGATACTTCTCTTATACTTTCTAAAAACATGTATTTAAACAGTGAACACTGTAGTGGCAGTATCTTTACAGTCAAGCACTCACCATTTACTTTCTCCGCACCATAAGATGTGCATTAAATGTGGGTTTTTACCTGGAGCAGGATTTAGGTTCTGTAGCTATCACCACCACAAGAGCATGCTCACTTCTACTTACTTAGTAGTTTGCTCTTTCCTTAAATGTCCCAAGAAGCAGAGAGTGGCCAAGAAAATGTAAACACTAATTGTGCTTTTTCCTTGTTTATTTATTCAGTTCTTGTCCAGGTGTGTCTAGATTCAGACGCTTAACATTTAGAATTTCCATCTTTTGTATTTGAGGTGTATTTAGTGATTCATTAGATGGGTCTTCCTATCTAGGATCATTTAATCTGGTATACATCCCATGCTTTTGTTGTATAATTTCTGAACATGGTACTTTTTCTTCTGTGTGTTTTATTTAAAATTTAGTCAAAGCTCGAAGAGGCCCTTAGCCTGGCAACAGAATTCCAGAATTCCCTGCAAGAATTTATCAACTGGCTTACTCTAGCAGAGCAGAGTTTAAACATCGCCTCACCTCCCAGTCTGATTTTGAACACTGTTCTTTCACAGATAGAAGAGCACAAGGTAACTGCCTTAAGATGCTGTCACTTCCCTTTAAAAGGACTCATGCAAAGGAGCGCTCCTTTGCCTTATTTTATGACTAAAATGAGCAATATTTTCCCACAGGTTTTTGCTAATGAAGTAAACGCTCATCGAGACCAGATCATCGAGTTGGATCAAACAGGGAACCAGTTGAAGTTCCTTAGTCAGAAACAGGATGTTGTCTTGATCAAGAATCTGTTAGTTAGTGTCCAATCTCGGTGGGAGAAGGTTGTTCAGAGATCTGTTGAAAGGGGGAGATCACTGGATGATGCCAGGAAGCGGGCAAAACAAGTAAGTTATTAAAGAAGGCACTGAGTCTGTGAAAGCCTTGAGCCCTGAACGTCTGAAATGGTGGTTATGGATGAGTTGTACAGTTGGCATATTCTTTTCTGTTACAATGTACATCTTACTTAATTTTAGTTCTATGAAGCTTGGAAAAAACTGATTGACTGGCTAGAAGATGCAGAGAGTCATCTGGATTCAGAACTGGAGATTTCCAATGACCCAGACAAAATAAAACTTCAGCTTTCTAAACATAAGGTAAAATGGTTCATTGTTGTGAGGTCCTAAGCTTAGTATTCACCAAAGCTTGTTGCTTGCTAAAAGTAGAAACCAGAGCCTATTTAAAATAGTTGATCACATTAATATATCAAAAGGGGCTAGGAATGTAAATCATTTGATAAGAGTTCTTGCTTGGCATGGACAAGGTCCCGCATTTTGTCTCAAAAAAAAAAAAGTCAAGATGAAAGTTAAGCATGGTGGCAAATTCTTATAATCTTATTCTATTGCTTTACAACCTGAGGCAAGAGGGGTGAGAGTTAAAGAGTAGCTTGGGCTTCATGAAGAATTCCAGGCCAACTTGAGCCACATAGCATAGTTTTAAATGTCATGGATTAAATTTAGGCTTTATATAAGCTAGACAAGTGTTCTTGGTGCTATGCACCAACCCCACGAGTCCTTGGGATACCTAGATAACATAAAAGTCGTACTCTATGTAATAGTTTAAACAAACTGGTTATATGAGTATTTAAGTAAAAGTATGGGGTTTTAGAAATTACCATGTGCTGTTGTGTATGGTATACATGAAAGTTACAAGTTTCTTTTAAGAGTAAGCTAGTTTAGTTTAGTTTTTAGTTTAGTTTTGTTTTATTTGGGGTTTTCTGTGTGTGTGTGTGTGTGTGTGTGTGTGTGTGTGTGTGTGTGTGTGTG